CCCCCTACCTACCTAGCCCGGCCCGGCCCTTAGCGCTCGCTTGGCCTGCAGCGCCCGCCCGCCCCTTAGCGCCCGCCCTTTAGCGCCCTCCTGGCCCCGTCGTGCCCTCCTGGCCCCCGTCGCGCCCTCCAGGCCCCGTCGCGCCCTCCTGGCCCCGTCGCGCCCGCCTGGCCTCGTAGCGCCCTCCTGGCCCCGTAGTGCCCTCCTGGCCCCCGTCGCGCCCTCCAGGCCCCGTCGCGCCCTCCTGGCCCCCGTTGCGCCCTCCAGGCCCCGTCGCGCCCTCCTGGCCCCCGTCGCGCCCTCCAGGCCCTGTAGCGCCCTCCTGGCCCCCGTCGTGCCCTCCTGGCCCCCATAGCGCCCTCCTGGCCCAGTAGTGCCCTCCTGGCCCCCGTCGCGCCCTCCAGGCCCCATCGCGCCCTCCTGGCCCCCGTTGCGCCCTCCAGGCCCCGTCGCGGCCTCCTGGCCGTCGTCGCGCCCTCCAGGCCCTGTAGCGCCCTCCTGGCCCCCGACGCGCCCTCCAGGCCCCCGTAGCGCCCTCCTGGCCCTCGTCGCACCCGCCTGGCCCCACCGCGCCCGCCTGGCCCTGTCGCACCCGCCTGGCCCCAACGCGCCCGCCTGGCCCCGCCGCGCTCGCCTAGCCCCACCGCGTCCGCCTGGCCCCACCGCGCCCTCCTGACCCCCCCTTGCGCCCGCCGGGCCCCTGGTCAGCTGCGCGTGCTGGCCCCTCCTAGCGCCCGCCCGACCCCTCCTAGCGCCTGCCCGGCCCCTCCTAGCGCCCGCCCGGCTCCTTCTAGCACTAGTCCGGCCCCTCCTAGCGCCCGCTCGGCCCCTACTAGCGCTCGCCCGGCCCCACCTAGTGCCCACTCGGCCCAATCTAGCGCCCGCCCGGCCCCACCTAGTGCTCGCCCGGCCCCACTTTGCGCCCGCTCGGCCCCACCTAGCGCTCGCCCGGCCCCACCTAGCGCCCGCCTGGCCCCTCCTAGCGCCCGCTCGGCCCTTTCCACAGTGCCCGCCCGGCCTCTCCTACTGCCTGCCCGGTCCCGACACGCCTGCCTGGCTCCTGCGGCCCACAACTCCCCGTGCCCGCCCGACTCCTGCGGCTTGTGTCGTCTGCTTGCCACGCTGGAGCGTCTTGTCGCTGTTCTGTGGAGTTGTGCCGCTGTGTCCCTGTATCGCTGATTCTTCACAATGGCTGACTTCGTCCTCTGCCTGGACGCGGGGGGCCACGCAGTTGACTTCGCCGCCTGGCTGTCCGATCTCCGCCGTCACCTCACAGGTCAGCGCCAGGATGGGCACTCCTTAGTTGTCCATGTTGATGGCTTGCTCCCCCGCCCCCCTGCACCTGCTCCCCTCCCTGCTGACCCCACATCTACTGAGCGTGAGGTTTTCTCTGCTGCTGCACTTGCATGTGCAATCTGGGACTCTCGCGATGCAGTTGCTCAGGTCGCTATTAGTCACGCCGTCCCTGTGCCTGAGCGTTCGCGTTTCGCTACAGTTGATACAGCCAAGGCTTACCTAGATACTGTAGTTGCTCACTATTCCACGCCTGCCTCTGCTACTGCAGGCCGCCTGCTCTTTCCTATGCTTTTCCCAGACCTTGCTTCCTTCCCGTCTATTGCTGATCTTGCCACACACCTGTGCGCCCTCGAGTCTCGCTACCGCACTGCTAGCACTGCTGCCCAGCTCACTGCGCTCCCTCCCCCCTTCTGCATGACCCTCTACTTTATCGCTATGCGCCTTCCTGACCGCCTTGCTAGTGCCCGCGACCACATCCTTAGCCAGCACCCCGGTGACCTCACCCTAACAGCCTTTGTCACCGCCCTGACCAAGATCGAGACTCGCCGGCGCACTATCGCTCAGTCGAGCGGTGCACCAGCAGTCTCTATCTTTCACGGCTGTGCCCCCTCCCAGTGCACGTTTACTGACGTTTCGGCTGCGGTCGCCACTACGACCCCTCTGACCGAGACTGCCGCTGCCATGCACTCGCAGCAGCGCCCGCGCCGCGCCGGTCGTGGCCGCCAAGGAGGGCGTGGTGGTGGAGCTGGTGGTAGTGGTGGTAGTGCCGTGGACAATGGTTCTACTGAGGGGACTGCCGCAGCTAGTCAGGAGCAGCAGCCGTTGCCCTAGCAGCAGGAGCAGCCGCAGCAGCCGTCGCAGCAGTCGAAGTCATCCCTGCAGCTGTCCCAGCCCCAGCCATGGGCTCGTCTCCCCCCGGGTTGGCCCGGCACCTCCGTGGGTGGTGGCCGTGGTGGCGGCCCGCGCAGCTTGGCGTCTACCGGCAGCTCCGGTGGTGTGACCTGCCAGTACCAGCTTCAGACAGGGCCTCTCCGCGGCACTCTGTGCCGCCGCCCGCACCCGACCGCCCGCTGTTTCCGCCGCCTCGACGATCTCTTTCGTCGTCGCTTTGGCCCGGCCCCGGACCTCCCCAACTGGTACAGCCTGCTTCGCCAGGGCGTGCCGATCTTTGAGTTAGATATGGATCAGATAGGTGCTGCTTTGCATGCCTTGTATGCTGACGCTTCTAGTGTTGCTGGATCTTATTATCCTGTGTTATCTAGTTTAGGCGTAGCACCCTTGTGTAGCTTAGCCTCCCCTGCTGCGTCAGGCATAGGACTGCCTAGTTTGCCTAGCCCAGTTCCTGCACCGGCTTCGTTCCCGGCCTCCGCTACTGCCTCACTGTCCTTCACTCTCGACTCCGGTGCTTCTGCCTGTTTCTTTCGCGATCGCTCCACGCTCACGCCGCTTGCTGCGTCTGCTGTTGTAGCTCTCGCTGACCCCTCCGCGGGACCTGTCGTTGCTCGCAGCTCCACTTCCCTGTCCAGCCGTTCCCTCCGGCTCTCTTACAGGCCTCCACGTTCCCTCGTTCTCCAGGAACCTGGTTGGTGTCGGCCGTCTTCAGGACCTCGGTGTCACCCACTACGTTCCCTGGGCACGAGCGGTTCGCTGTCTGTACCGAGGCTGTCTCAGGTTCCCCCCTTGCGACGTTTCCCCAGGACCCGGTGTCCGGGCTGTTTACCCTTGACACCGCTTCCCCCCCGGTTGGTGCGTCCTCCCAATTCGCTACAGCGTGCTTGTGTCGGTCCCTCACACAACCGTCCCTTCTATGGCACCACCGCTTAGGTCACCCTGCTCTCCCGCGCCTGCGTCACATGTCCCAGCACGGTCTTGTCTTAGGCCTCCCCGAGTCGCTCCCCGCACTTCCCCCCTCGCCTGCGCCACCGTGCACACCTTGCGTCGAGGGCTGGCTCCGCCGTGCCCCTCACTCCTCCTCGCTTCGCCCTGCTACTGCTCCCCTTCAGACCCTGCACCTGGACGTTTGGGGCCCAGCCCCCATCCCCGGACCGCGCGGTGAGCGTTACTTTCTTGTGCTCGCCGACGACTACACGCGCTACACCACGGTGTTTCCCCTGGAGCGGAAGGCCGACGTGCCCGGCGTTCTTCTCCCGTGGGTTGTAGCTGCGCGTCTTCACCGCGGTTTCCCTGTGCTGTGTCTCCACTCCGACCGTGGAGGCGAGTTCGCCTCTGGCTGGCTTGGACAGTTCTGTCGTGCGAAGGGCATCACCCAGCCGTACACCTTGCCGGACTCGCCACAGCAAAATGGGGTTGCTGAGCGCCGCATCGGCTTGGTCATGGAGGTTGCTCGTATCTCCATGATTCACGTCGATGGCCCCCATTTTTCTGTGGCCGTTCGCTGTTCGCTACGCTGCTCACCAGCTTAACCTGTGGCCACGCTCCCTCTCAGCATCCTGGCTCGCTTTGTGGCCACCGGCAGACACCGGCCACAGCACCGGTCGGCCGCTAAGAGGGTCTTTCGATATCTAGCAAGTACATCGGGCATGGGGTTAGTGCTTGGAGGACGCAGGCCAGTGGTCCTTACTGGACACACAGACGCTTCTTGGGCAGACGACGCTGAGACTCTCAGGTCGTCGCAGGGCTACTGTTTTAGCCTTGGTTCGGGTGCAATCTCTTGGAGATCCACTCGCTCGTCGTCTGTTGCCCAGTCCAGCTGTGAGGCTGAGATCTACGCCGGTGCCATGGCGGCACAGGAGCTCCGCTGGCTGACCTTCTTGCTCACAGACTTAGGTGAGCGGCCTAGCTCTGCCCCGGTTCTGTACGCTGACAACAGGGCCATGATACTCCTATGTCAGGAGCCTCGACTTGAGGGCAGAGCGAAGCACATCCAGCTGCGGTACTTCCTCCTGCGCGAGCTTCACCAGCGTCGCCAAGCCCGCGTAGTTCACTTGGCCTGCGGTGCTAATACCGCTGATATCTTTACTAAGGCGCTTGCGCCTCAAGATCATCAGCAGCACTGTGTACTGCTTGGTCTTGTTCCTGTAAATTCTCACTTGTTAGGACCCTGATTGTCTACTCTCTATTATATACGCCTGTCTGACTGGCCTTGTGGCTTTACCTCCAGTGGCTGGAATAGTAGTGCCGCCCTGGCTTGCTTGAGACTTGTTTGTACTCTTGCTGGACGCCTGTCTCAGTGGTTGGACTAGTAGTGCCACCCTGAGCTGTTTTCTTCTTGCTTAGCACCACCCCTTCTCTAGCCTAGGGGGTGTGTCAACTTATACATTTGTTGCATGTAGAAGTTATAGGCTAGTCTAGGTGTGTGCTTCTAGTGAGTACAACCCCAACAGGTATATGTTCTAGGTTTCTCACACTAGTATAATATTCTCGTGTTCTAACATTTCGTCCTTTCGTGTTCTTTCGTCCAACCTCCTCGTGTAACCTCCGTTGACTCGCGTACCCGATACGGCTTTACTCGAGTGTAGTGTCACACTTCAGAAACGCTGAAGTCCTTGAGGTATTTCCAACACCCATAAAATAGTCTGGGTTTTGATCTGGTTGGCAAGGTATCACTTACTTTAGGGGACATTCGTGATTTGGTGAATGTGCAACGACGTAATCGAACCCAATGACACCCAACCACCACAGCAATCCTGCTAACGAGGTAGCCAGGCAGCAGGAGAAAGGCCGAGAAGGCAAGTGATTTGCCGTAACTAGAACTGAAGGCTATCCTCTTGTTCAACACCTTGTAGATTTGGGGAGGCCGCATGGCCGGCGAAGCAGCCCCAGAGGTGGTGCTTGAGACGACAATGGGACAAATAACGGTCGAGGTAGGTTCAGGTGTTTGTTTCCCGTGTTTCGTTTCTCGTTCGGTAAGTCCGATGATGTAGGAGGCCCTCTCCCGAGGCTCTCTGACTGCTTGAGTACTTTTCGGCGCTGTTTAGAGACTTCGTTTCGACCACCTCTACCTCCTTCATCCCCTTACCTCTCCTGAACCCGTGTAGTCGGAACTTTGTTATCGTTTTTTTCCGCACTAGTTGAATGTTTTTACCCGTTCGCTCCGGCCCCGCATCACATTGCGAAGCGCCGTGCAGTTGTACCAAAAGCACGCTCCCAAGACGTGCAGAAACTTCTTGGAACTGTCGCGGAGGGGGTACTACAATGGCACTAAGTTCCACCGAGTGATCAAGGTGAGCTGGCAAACCGAGTGCAAGGTGAGCTGGTAAACCGAGTGGTTAAGGCGAGCTGGCAAACCGTGTGATCAAGGCGAGCTGGCAAACCGTGTGATCAAGGCGAGCTGGCAAACCGTGTGATCAAGGCGAGCTGGCAAACCGAGTGATTGAGGTGAGCTGGTAACCCGAGTGGTTAAGGTGAGATGGTAAACCAAGTGATTATGGTGAGATGGCAGCATGCCGGCTGGTGATCTCATTGGGTTTTTCTGCAGGATCACTTCAATTGAGGTCAGCGTTGGACCCTTCGCAAGATCTTGGTGGCTATTATCTTGCAATTTCTGGCTCAACCACTTCTCGTGCGACCGATGCTGCTGCTTCAGCCGAAGCTCATATTCGCCAGCAAGTGTATTGTCCTCCAATTCACCCCTGTTGCTGCTGCATCGTGCGTTGGCAGGATTTCATGGCTCAGGGCGGGGATCCCACAGGGACCGGACGAGGAGGCGAGTCCATCTACGGGTGAGTGGAAGAAAGCCATGAAGAGTGTTGTGTGGAGTGACATGCATGCACCCTGCCTACCGTGCCTACCACTGTCAGTGGCAATGAGACCTCTTTTCACTGCTTTTTAGAAATGCCATAATCTTGCACCAAATTTCTGGCATCGCGTATAAACCCCCTTCTCTGCATATCCAAACATCTCGGACTTGCACATCCCAGTCGTTGTCAGCGGCCTGTCTCTTTTGGTACTCCCCCTCCAGTTGCCCTCCCGTCATGCTCTCTCGTTTCCGGCTTTTGTATTTGTAATCTCCCCCTCGCCCTCCTCTGCTCTTTTCAACCCAACCATCCTCTCTCCTTCGTTCCAGGGCCCAAGTCTGGCAAAAACTCACCCCCTGCCTTCCCTCCTCCTCCCGTGCCCCTCCCCCTCCACCAACCCAGAGCCAAGTTTGAGGACGAGATAACGCGGGAGCTGAAGCACACGGGCGCCGGCATTCTCTCGATGGCCAATGCTGGGCCCAACACCAACGGCAGCCAGTTCTTTCTCACCCTCGCCCCCACTCCCTGGCTTGACGGTGCGTGGATTGATTACCCTCCTCTTACTCCTGAGCTGCCTCATCATTGGTCGTCGACAAGTGGTGCATTCATGTATAAGATTAGGGGCTTGCTAGTTTGTCGATTTTTTTCATGTCTCTGTGTTCATTTCTTCTGGTAACCGCTTGGCATGTGCCTTCTGCACTGCAGGCAAGCACACCATATTTGGCCGCGTGTCACATGGAATGGAGGTGCTGAAACGGCTGGGCAACGTGCAGGCAGACAGGACTGACAGGTGATTCAGGAGGAATGGGGGTGTGTTTATACATCCATGCACTCCGTTTTCTACTGGGACCATGTTAGTTGGTGGTGACTCAGCTTGATATGACTTACCGTACTGTATATTCGTGTTCTGTACCAATGTTCCCGTAGCCCGTTTGTGCCTGTCTTGCTTCTTTGTCCTGTCTCACTAAGTTCCTTTGTTTCATGGTGATGTGCAGGCCCATCCACGACGTGAAGATAATTAAGGCAGTTCCTAGGGACTAATCTGTAGCATTCCCATACTTCCGTGAGAAAATTACCACAAAATTAGCATTAGTTGCCAATATTGGCTATGTTTACAAAGGCTACTTTGATACTTTCAGAACGTACTTATGCTTTCACTTTGGTTGAGAGTACGTCTGACAGTCAGAGAGCGTTTGCCGTAACGGGAACAGCCAGAGTAAAATGCTAGACACCTCCCAGATTATTTATGGCCAGCTCTAGTACCTGTTTTCATGGCGCCATCGGCGCGCTCTGTCGTCAGGGCTCGCTTGCTCCTGCCGTCCAACCCCTCCGCCAGTTACGCCGAGTACACTTGCCGCGTCGCATTCCAGGCCCATTCGCGCAGGTGCGATCATCATAATTCTAAGTCGTTGTTGGCCCAACGCAGCCTGACGATGATCCTAGCTGCATTTCCGTCCCATGATGGCCTGGTTTTCGTGGCCCCTTCAGCAGCGAGATTAACGGCTGTTCTACTTATAGCCGCGACGTTCCAAACCTCTTCTTAGAGTTCACTCTTTTTCTCACCACCCTGTCTCTCCCCTCCCTCTGTGGCCTCTTCGGTCACCCACACTCCTCCCAGCATTGGCGTGTGTGGCGCGTACATGGCATCGGTACGTCAGGTGTTTCACTCGTGACCCTCCACTCTCCACCCTCCATTCTTCACCCTCTCTCCCAGTCCTGGTGTGTGTGACGCGTACATTGCATCTGGACGTCAGGTGTTTCACTGCCAGGTGCCCATAGGCCAAGAGAATCTGTTGCAACAGGGCAAGGCGCAGGTGCTTCTGCCGCACCCTGTTCAGGTGGGTTCTGTTGTCCCAACCTGTCAGGTGGAATTCCACTGTACGCGCGTCCCTTTGCCTGTCCGCCAGCCTCATCATGCCACGTCATTTCACCATGCCAGTTGTCACCTGGTCAGTGGTCATGCCACGTGCCTCCTTGCATTGATGTATAGAAGCTCATTTGCTCTTGTCCGGTCCGTTGCTACGCGCTATATATCCATTGCACCTCAATGTTGACCCACTACTCCCCTCGCCCACCCTTTCCCTCCTCACAATCCCCTGCAGGACGTCACCCCCACCCCCATCCCATCGCTCCTCCACGCCTCTCACATCCAGAGCCTCGCATCCGCTCCTATCCCCACCCACCCCTTCTCCCCCTCCCCTGCCCTCCCCTGCCCTTCCCTTTCTCCCTCCCCCCTGCAGGACGTCACCCCTACCCCCATCCCATCGCTGCGCCACGCCTCTCTCATCCAGAGCCTCGCTTCTGCTCCCCTGGAGATCACTCAGGGGGGTGCTGGTAAGCAGTGTGACTGAAGCGGGCGTTCACAGTCGCCCAAAGATGCTGCTATAGTGAAAAATGACTTAAGGGGAAGGTGGTGGTGCTACATGCTTTGCTTTCTGACAAGTCTTACCATGTCCCCACCCCCCCCTCCTCCCCCCCCCTCCCCCTCTCCTCTCTCTTTCTGCTCCTCGTGTTGCGGCCTGCATTTCCGTAGAAAGGAAATCCTCAAACTGTGGAAATAAATTGCCCCTGGCTGGGAGCACCAATGTCGGTGACACTCGTTCTGCCTACCTTACTGCTGGTTCCTTCTTTCCCCAACCCCCCCTTCCGGCTCTACCTCTTTGCACCTCTTTGCACCTCTTCCCCCCTCTCTTCCCCCTTCCCCTTCTCTTCCCCCTCCCCCCTCTCTCCAGCTTCCACGCTCCTCTCCTCTGTGGACTCACTCGGTCGAACCATCCTCTCCACCTTCCCCTCCTCCTCCTCGTCTGGTAAGTCTTATGCGTCGACTCAAAAGTCATCTCCACCTTCTCCTGCTCCTGGTTAGTCAAGTCAACCAAGTCAACCGAGACAACTGAGTCAACCAAGTCAACCGAGACAGCTGAGTCAACCGAGTGACCTCTCGTCTCCCTCCATTCCACACATGCTACACATGCCACCCTCTCCTTCCTCTAACTCATCCGAGTCAAAGCCGTGTTATTACTCTTCTGCCCTCCTCCCCCTCCCCGTTCTCGACAGCACCGCCTGACTCCATCTGCCATCTCTTCCCATCTCCCTGCGGCACCACTGAGCCCGGCCCATGCTGCTCTGCTGTCTCTGTCAACCGAGTTTACCGAGTCAAGCAAGCAAACACCTAACCCCCCCACCCCTTCTCCCCCCAAACCCCTTTCCCTCAACTCCTAACACACCACAGTGACACCTGACTCCAGCTGCCAACTCTCCCCATCTCCCTGTGGCTTCACCGAGCCCGGTCCATGCTGCTCTGCCATCTCTGTCACAGCGCCAACCACCATCCGGGTATGTACATTGAATAGCGTGAGGTTTGATCAGAAGTCTCAATGTACAGTGCTCAAATGACTCCTATTCTCCCTGTTTTTTGTTTCATTATTCTCTCCCCCCCCAACTCCCCTCCCCCCCACCCCCCACTTCCCCACCTCCTCCTCTCTTCCTCTCCTCCCATATCCAACTTCTCCCCCCAACCCCTTCTCTCCCTGTCCTCTCCCTCTCCTGTTCCCACAAGCCGGCCACATCCCTGGTTCCTTCCCCTCTCTCGAGACCTTCACGGTGAATCCTCTCTCTTCCTTCCACCTCCACTCTAAACCCCCCTTATCGCTTCCCATAAATAAACCCCCCCCCCCCCCTCTTCCCCCACGCCCCCCGCCCCCCCTTCCCACCCACCAGGTGGCCACCTCCCGCTTCTTCCCCCGCTCTCTAGACCTCCATGACCCCTCCTCCCCCTCCCCCTCGTCCCCCCTGCGAACATTCCGCCTGCCCTTCCCCCCTGCTGCTGTGGGCTTCCTGGGGGGAACTGAGGGGGGCAGAAGGGGAGTGAAGAGGAGAGGGGGGGAGGGGATAGAGGAAGAGGGCGGAGTGGGGGGGCTTCGTCTGCTGGCTGTGTGTGAGGGGCCTCAGGTGTGTGTGAGGGGCCTCAGGTGTGTGTGAGGGACCTCAGGTGTGAGTGAGGGGCCTCAGGTGTGTGTGAGGGCCTCAGGTGTGTGTGAGGGACCTCAGGTGTGAGTGAGGGGCCTCAGGTGTGTTTTCAGGTGCCACCAGGAGGTGCATCACATGTCTCCGTTTTTTCTTGCCTTTTGTGAACGTGTTGTATTGTGCCTCGTTGCACCAGGCGTGGTGTGTTGTGCCTCGTTGCAAGAGGTGTGGTGTGCTGTGCCTCGTTGCACAAGGCGTGGTGTGCTGGCTGCATGTGTTCCACTCGGAATGAATCACACATGCATGCACCTTTGCACTATCCATGTGACACTGTCACGTGAATGCTGACTCATCATCATGCCAAAACATCATCGTCTCGTCACAGTTCCATGCCATGCCATGCCATGTCATGCCATGCTGGAATGCCATCATCCCATGCATGATCAAGCTGTCATCATTACCATCTGACGTCACCATGCCATATCATCATGCCAGCTCAGCATCTGGGACGAGCGGGCCTCCGAAAACGGTGGCTGCATCCAGCGAATCACGGTCTCTCCCTCTGCCGAGCCTCTCTACGCCCTAGCCTCGGCAGTAGGCTCGGGAACAGGCTCGCTGACGGGTTTGGTAGCTGTGGGAGGAGCTGACCGCACTGTAGCAGTGTACGACGTGCGGAAATGGGCGGCGAGAGGCCGATGGGTCGGCTGCGTTCGGCAGGACGTGATGGGGCTAGCTTTCCCTGTGGCTGGTGGTGAGACAGAGGGAGCAAGGCGGGGGATTGAGGTAGAGGAAGCAAGCCGAGGCGTTGGGACAGAGGGAGCAAGACAGGAGGGTGTTTCTTTTGGATCGGATGAGTCTATTTTCGTGTGGAGTGCTGACAATGAGGTGGTTTGTGGAAGGTGGACTGAGGGAGAGGGGAGGGAGGGAGGGGTGACTGGAGCAGGCAAGGGGAGGGGGAAAGGGGAGGCTGGAAGGGGGGGCAAAGGGGGAGAAGAGGGAGAGGGAGGGGGTGGTGGGAGAGGAAGGGCGCAGCCAAGCAGAGAGAAGGTAGATCAGCAGTATAGGGAGCAGAAAAGCAGGGAGCAAAAGACATGCACCGATGCAATCTGTAAAGAGGATGTGGGGAGCACTCCCAGGGAAGGGGGACGCACATGGTTGGAGGAAAGAAGGGCACCAGGAGAGGCGGAAGCAGAAGCAGAGGGGGAAGCAGTGGAGGGAGGCAGGGGGGCATCACGTGTTCATCAATCGTTTCGGGGCGACAGCGCGTGGTGTGGCGTTGCCAGGGTGAGTTGCGAGGGTCAGTCACATGCTCTTGAGGCCAGTCGTATGCGGCCAGTTGGTATGAGGCCAGTCAGGATGAGGCCAGTCGTTATCAGGCCCCTCAAAGTCATCTCGGGGCAACAGCGCATGGTGTGGCGTTGCCAGGGTGAGTGTGAGCCACAGGGGTGGGGTTAGAGTGAGTTTCCGGGTTAGATTGTTATGGCTGGATGATACTAGTGAGCTACAGGGATGTATGATTTGGAAGATGAAGCATAGACTCATAGGCATGGGGTCGTCATGATGACTAGGTAGCTAGGATGGATGTTGACAATCCTCTTCCCACCTTACCCGCACTCATCCTTCCACCTCTCCTCCTCTCCTCCCCCCCCTCCTCCCCTCCTTCCCCCTCCTCCCCCCTGCACGGGTCCCCTACTGTTGGAAAGCAGGACTTCAACTCGAACCTGCTTGCAGGCTGGTGCATGTCGGGGAGCTTCATAGTGGCAGATTGCACACACTAGTGCCCTGTCCGTGTATCATCTTTATTCAATAACGTGTATCAAAATTGCAGTATATAATGTTCGACATTTAGCTCCAGCAGATGGCTTGGGTTGGGAGGACCACAGAGAAAGAGAGTAGTGGTGGTAGGTATGCTGTTTCGTAGAAGTATGATTTTGTCACAGCTGTGCTATACCGGTACGGTATCACTGGCATTGCCACCAGACTCAGGGATGTTGCAACGCCTTATGGTGCTGTTGGCTGGCCTACCCTCCGGGCCGGTCATGTCTGCTGTTCCATACCATTGCTGGGCGAATGAAGTTCCTCTCAAGTACTTCACTCCAGGCCAATATGACAGTCAATGAAACTGTACAGTGATTGATACACTTGATCTAGATAGCTTTCACCTTCTCCACAATCTTTTCAATGACAGAATCCATCAATTCAGGGTGTGCAGCAGGGTCAGGCAGGCCCCAGTCCTCTACAGTGGTGGTCGCCGGCAGATCCACCTTTGGCAGGTTTGGCTGCAAAGAAGGAACCAAAAAGAGGACATAAGTGATGTGCGAAACACATGATCAGAAGTCAATAACGAATCAGCAGAACATGAGTCACATGACAATCAAAGCATGCTATCCGGGCAAGAAGGCTCACTGGCATGGCATGGTCCCATGCAGGACTGGGCAGGCGACAGATCGTGAAACCTTATGAGATGCAGGACTGGACAGGTGACAGTAAAAGGCCGGCACTGAAATACTCCAACACCATGGCATTGACTCAACAGACAGCCCCCATCAGAAATTCTCACCAGACGGCCCCCATCATGGTGCTGACTCACCAGACAGCCCCCATCATGGCGCTGACTCACCAGACAGCCCCCATCATGGCGCTGACTCACCAGACAGCCCCCATCATGCTGCTGACTCACCAGACAGCCCTCATCATGGCACTGACTCACCAGACAGCCCCCATCATGGCATTGACTCACTCACCAGACAGCCTATCATGCTGCTGACTCACCAGACAGCCCATCATGCTGTTGACTCACCAGACAGCCCATCATAACGATAAGGTCCCAGTTGTTCTCCAGACCCCCAATCGTCTCATCTGCAATACCCTGCCGAAAGTGGAACCAGAGGAGGGGGAGAACGGGTACTGGCAAACAAAGCACCAGACAAGCTTCGCACATGGCACATGCTAATAATGACACCAACGGTTGTGTGAATCCATGAGCATCATGTGGTGAGCCATCCCCTTCACCTTAGAGCGTGCAGGTCCTACACTGCTCGCTCAAATCTGAAGTATGACATGCACACACAGAGGCACGCCACCGCCGTACATGCCCCATTTCATCCATGAGCGAGCATCATGTGTGGTGCGTCATTCTCTTCACCTTGGAGCGTGCATGGTCAGTGGGATAGCCACGAGTCTTAAGGGCCTCGATCATGACCGGATTCAGCTTCCCTGCTGCATCCACGCCTGGAAGAGAGTCAAGGCAATAAGAAAATAATTAATATCAACAATCATTACTATTATTATCCGCACAAGCATCCCCAGAGCTGCACATGCTCGAGTCAGTATTGCATGGACTAGCATTATGTATGACGGAATAATGGGAAATGTGGATGCGACATGGCTGCTCGAGGACATTCACTCGCTCTAGATTCAAGGTTACCTGAAACCCATGTGTCAGAAAGCCGTACCAAAACCCTGGTACGAAATGATGAATCCTGAATTTCGGCATATAACAGGTCTAAACCTTGCATTTTCCATTCTTTTTATCACAACTATCTGCTTCGCTGTTGTTATTGCTCTTTCCCTCAACGGCTTCGCCATTATTCACCAAGATGGGCATTCCTTTCCTCCTTCTCGGAAAGATCTCATATGCTCGCACTCAATCGCGTGGTACAGCTGAGGTTCGGCCCGTACCTGCACTTTCGACTTGGAGCTCCGGTCGCAGATGCCGGGCGATCGCTTCGGCGGCGATCGAGCGATTCGCATTGTGGCTGCAAACGAAAAGAACGCGCTTCGGCATGCTGACTAATCAACTTTCAATCTGGACATAGAGGGGGTGAGCGGGGGAAGAGGGGTGGGGGAGCGGGGGGGGGGGAGGGGGAGGTGGACGGGGGAAAGAGGGGGGAGTTGGAGTTAGATAGCTCCAGTTATGGTGAAATTCATGAAGGGCTGGACGTTGATGCCAGAAAGTGCAATCGGAGGTCTAGCAGCCGGCGACCGATTGACGAACGACATGCGCGCTATCAGAAGGAACCACAGAGCGGCAGCGGCACTACTGCTGGACACGGACTAACCTCAAGAGCGAGAGAATTGGGACGCGAAGTTCCCTTCGCAATCGACAGGCGTGCGGGAAATGGAGGTCGCAAACGCCTTCACTAATACTTGAGCTTAGACAGAGCGGCGTTAGCTCGTGACTTGTGCCTGTCGCGGCCATAGCTGGGAGAGAGGTAGCACAATATCCTCGAAAGCTCCTAAGCATCTGATTTTTGCCCAGTAGGACCTTCCCCGTTACCTCTCCCCCTACCTCTCCCCAGCAGGGCCTCCAAAGAATATCCCCCCTAACCCCCTTTTCCCCCTTTTCTCCCCTTCCGCCCTCCCATCCGTCCCCCTTCCCCCAAAAAGGAATATTCCTTTTCGTGGAATTTCCTCGAAACATCGTGGTTCTTTGGGAGATTTGGAGCCTGCGAATCAACCCCTCGAACGAGAAACGTTTCCGAAGTACACCACAAATCGTTTCTGAACAAATGGATTACTTCTTCCTCTGGGATGCTGGAAATACACTAGCGGGCATTTTCAACCCTCCCAGTGTGTAACAACAAACGTGGGAACTTAAGCACTTGACCAGATTCGTCGACGAATCCCAACGAAGGGTTTCTTGCAACCGCATGTCAGCCTAAATCGTGTCAGAATATCGACGGTGGAGATCATTACACGTTATCCAATTTGCTGACTTGTACATATCGTAGTTGTCAGCAAGCTGCTGGAACAAAAGGTGACACAGAGTAGGAAAACCCTAAGCGGAGAAATATCCTACATCAAAGCTGTAAAAATTTCCGACCCTGTGATTATGTTTTCTGCCCAGCACCACGATTCGTTGATTCGTTGGCTGTCTTCCCGCCTTGGGAATTACCGCCGCCAGTAACCTCGACGCGATCCTAAACGGCGAATATAAATACATGACCTTCTTCAGTTAGCTTCCATCCCACCTCGATCCTGACTCTCGAGTTTTGTAAGTCCCATATTCTGTGTTCTGTATTCTGCGGGCCGAGTGTCAGTCTCCCACCTCGCGTGCCGACGCAACCGACTTCACGATTTTCTTCAAATTACGCCGCCATGGCTGAAGCGGTAGTTCATCATGACGGAGTGGAAGTGCGATGCGTGCCGGAGAACAAGGCTCTCCCGCCGCCTCTGCTGGCGTCGTCGGATCCCGTGGACGAGCAGCAGCTCGGTCTGCGATGCCGGTTCACGCGCAGCACCGGCGAGACGGAGGAGTACCCGGCTTCGGTGAAGAAAACGGGAAGCGGCGCGGCGCAATTCAGTTGCTGCTGTCCATCTGAGGTACGTCAGTCGGAGACACGTCAGTCGGAGACACGTCATTCGGAGACAGTCATCCGGAAACACGTCAGTCGGAAGTCGGGTAGGATAGAGCCACACGAGGGTTAGATAGTTCCTTTTCCCGTATCCACCTTTCCCCCCCACCCTTTACACTACGATATTTGTAATACTCGCTTCCGGCCTTCCCCTCTCGTTCAGATAATTCCTTTTCCCGTACCTCCGATCGCACCATATTCCCTCTTCCTTACCCCTCATCGCACCCCATCCCTTCTCCCTTCTCCCCGCTCCCCTCTCCCCGCTCCCCTCTCCCCGCTCCCCGCTCCCCTTCCCCGTCTCCCTTCTCCTCCTCGCACTAAAGGCCGTTCCGCGGACCGACTCGGAGGTGCGCGCGGCGCTGGTGTGGGGCGAGGAGGGCGAGTCGGAGGTGGCGTGCCGCGTGGTGGCGGCATTGGAGGAGAAGAACGCGCCGGCCGTCAAAGAGCTCTCCGCTGCCGGTGGGTTCCCGCCTCCTTGTGGGTTACTCACTGCTGCGAATGGGTTACCGCCACCTTATGGGTTACCGCCTCGTTATGGGTTACCGCCTCCTTATGGGTTACCGCCTCCTTATGGGTTACCGCCTCCTAATGGGTTACCGCCTCCTTATGGGTTACCGCCTCCTTGTGGGTTACCGCCTCCTTGTGGGTTGCCGCCTCCTTGTGGGTTGCCGCCTCCTTGTGGGTTACCGCCCCCTTGTGGGTTACCGCGCCCTTGTGGGTTACCGGTTCTGGTTCTTTGTCGCCAGCACCATAGGTTGTATGGACGAGTGCGAGTCGGAGGTGGCGTGGCTAGTTTTGAAGAAGCCATTGTCGCTCCTTGACCGTTTTCTGGCCGTGTGGATGCTCCTCGCCACGGTCATCGGCGTGCTCCTCGGCTGCTGCGTCCCCCCCATCCCCTCATCTCCCCCCATCCCCTCATCTCCCCCCATCCCCTCATCTCCCCCCATCCCCTCATCTCCCCGCCATCCCCTCGTCTCCCCGCCATCCCCTCGTCTCCCCGCCATCCCCTCGTCTCCCCGCCATCCCCTCGTCTCCCCGCCATCCCCTCGTCTCCCCCCATCCCCCCACCTATCCCCCCCTTTGTTTCCCCTCCTGTTTCCACTTTCCCGCTATAAACGTGCACCCGTTTTTCGCAGTATGTCGCTGCTCGATCGCTTCCTCGCCGTGTGGATTCTCCTCGCCATGATCATCGGCGTGCTGCTCGGCCACTGCGTCTCCACCAACCCCCAATCCTCCCTCCCCCCTCCCCCCCCCCTCCCCCCCTCCTTGTTTCCGCCACCCCCTCGCGTATCCCACAGCTGTGTTCCGCAGCATGTCGCTGCTGGACCGTTTCCTCGCCGTGTGGATCCTGCTCGCCATGATCATCGGCGTGCTGCTCGGCTACTACGTGCCCGCCATCCGCGACGCGTGGGAGACCGTTTCCGTGGCCAACGTGTCGCTCCCCATCGCCATCGGCCTCTGGTGGATGATGTACCCCGTGCTCTGCAAGGTAAGGTGACCACGTAACGCGCGAATTAATGTGCAAGGTAGGTTTACCACATAACTCGCGAGGTAGGGTTACCATGTAGTATGCGAGGCAGGGTTACACCATGTTGCCCGGCGAAGACAATCCTGCTGTTCGCAAGTCTGTAAGTCTATGTCAGTGTGTCGTTTTCCCATCGCCATCGCCATCAGCCTCCAGTGGACGATGTACCTAATGCTCTGCAACCTGTAGTATGCAAGGTGCATGATTGCCATGTTGCATACACACGACACATTTACCGGAGCACTTCTTGGTTACCGTATCATCCCATTGCCATTAATTTCGAGGGTGATGTATGCACTGCGAATTGAGTCTAGCTCGTCCTTCCGTCCATGTGCGCAGGTTCGGTTTGAGCTGCTGCCGAAGCTGTCCCGGTCCTGGGGCCTGCTGTTCCACATCGGTGTCTCCCTCGCGATCAACTGGGTGGCTGCTCCCCTGCTCATGACAGGTGTGTGTGTGTGTGCAACCAGTCCATTTCATTTTCCTCGTTTCCTTGCTTTTCAATGCTCTGGCCGGGACGTGGTCACCTTACCTTCCTCTCTCTCGAGTTCGGATTGAATATTTTACTTCATATCTTCTTCCCTTCCACCACTAGGTCTGGCGTGGGCGACCCTCCCAGACCAGGCAGGGCTGCGTTCAGGCATCATTCTGGTGGGCATTGCGCGCTGCATCGCCATGGTGCTCATCTGGAACCACCTGGCGGGCGGCAATGCGGAGTTCTGCGCCATCCTCGTGGCCGTCAACTCCATCCTGCAGGTTCGCAATGCCTTGACTTACTGTTCCTTCTCCCGTTTCTTGTGCTTTCTTTCCTCCTGCTTTCATCATTTCCTGCTGTATGTTTTTCCTATCCCTTTTCCCCTTAGATCACACGTTTTGTTTGATTCTTACCCTGGTTTAGTTTTCTCCTGCTTTCTTGTATTTACTGCCTGTCAAGTTCTCTCTGCTATGTCGCTCTGATTTCCCCTCAATCCACATTGCCGTGTGCTGCAGGTGGCGCTCTACTCGCCCCTAGCTATCTTCTACATTGACGTGGTCTCCCATGGTGGCTCCGTTGATGTGAGTACCTGGAGACTAAGCGGATGGGACTGCTCTGGGTGTGGTTGATACGGTCGGTTAATGCGTGAGCAAGAGGGGAGTAACTGGGGGAGTTCTGTTCTCAATCTTTCCTGATCTCAGCTAATTCAAGGCTCCGGCTGAATCCGTTTAAAGGCCTCCTCTTTTCATTCATCCCCCACGGGTGTCCGTCTGCATTGTGGCCACAATGAGAGTGTGATTCTCTTCCTAGGTGTGCCTCTTCCAGCAGCAGTTACACGCCGATTTCTCATTGAGGGGGCTGTTGGGAGGCAAGTGGTACGACAACAAGTTCCTGCCGAGGTTTGGCCCAACCCCCCTGCACTGAATTCTCCCCTCCGCACAGCTGTCCTTCTGGATGGTGGCCAAGAGTCAATTTTTGAGGCGCCTCAAAAATAGTTTCCTGCTGTGCGTTGGCCTAACCCCCCTGCACTGAATCCTCCCCTGCCCGCAGGTGTCCTTCTGGACGGTGGCCAAGAGCGTCCTCATCTTCCTAGGCACGCCTCTCCTGGCAGCGGTCATCACCCGCTTCACGCTGCGGGCGCTGTTCGGAGCCAAGTGGTACGACAACAAGTTCCTGCCGTGGTTTGGCCCCACGGCTCTCATCGGGCTTCTCTTCACCATCTTCGTCATGTTCTCGCTGCAAGGCCAGAACATCGGCAACAACATTGGAAAGGTATGTCGCATGCATTGACTCTTGTGCCTCCTTGAACACCTCTTCACCATCTTCGTCATGTTCTCGCTGCAAGGCCGGAACATTGGGAACGACATCATGTTCTTCGTCGGTATGGGGCTCGCGTTACACTTTTATTGTCTCCTTCTGAGATGTCTTGTGCTCTCACTAGCCACCTGGTTTGCTCTTTTCTCATCCTTCGCTGCCACCTGGCTTGCTCTTTTCTCATCCATTTGCCGCCTCCTGGCTTGCTCTTATCTCATCTATTCGCTGCCACCTGGCTTGCTCTTTTCTCATCCACTCGCTGCCACCTGGCTTGCTCTTTTCTCATCCATTTGCCGCCACCTGGCTTGCTCTTATCTCATCCATTCGCTGCCACCTGGCTTGCTCTTTTCTCATCCATTCCCTGCTCCCAACTCTATCCCTCCCCTTCCCCTCTCTCCCCTTTTTCTTACCCAGGTTGCTCGTGTGGCCGTGCCGCTCTTGATCTACTTCGGCATTGTCTTCTTTGGTGTGCTTGCCCTCTGCTGGCGCCTTGGATTCGCCTACTGCGATGCTGTCACCCAGTCGTTCACAGCAGGAAGCAACAACTTTGAGCTGGCTATTGCCGTTGCAGTGGCGTCGTATGGGATCGGATCGGATGAGGCCTTAGCTGCGGTTGTGGGGCCGCTGATTGAAGTGCCTGTGCTCATTGGTCTTGTTTATGTTACGCTCTGGATCCGCCAGAAGCTGGAGTGGAAAAACACTGGTGCTGTTTTGGATGCGGATGATTTCTTGGATAAGGAGTGAGCATGGGAGCTTTGTCTTGTATGTAAGTGTGTTCTAAATATGGTAATGTGTTCCTCTAAGAGTGCTTGCATGTATCTCTGTAATCTCTACACCTCCCACTTCAACCTACCTAGCAACCAGAACAGTAAAGATTCCTCCGACATGGCCTCACTTGCTGGCATCTCGGGCAATGATAATCATGCATCAAAGGATCTTAGTGTTTATCATTGCCTTGATGCATTGGTAGCCTTGGTAGGTTTATCGAACTCTACTGTAGAGGGCACAACTCCCTCCTATGCTTCTCCCTCTTCTAATCCATCTCTTTTCTCTCGTCAACTTCCTCCTAGTTTCTACCTAAACCCTCATGCCATTCTATGGCCTTTTACCGTTCCTAGCTATCTAGTCTCACGACACTTACATCACCTTGTTCTCCTATGCTAGGGTGATGTGTACGCGGTTGTTTGATGTGACTCCAAAGAAGACTACAGATGCTCTCATAGATGGTATTAACCATGGAATGAGGGCAGTCATCCATCGTGGAAACGCCTCCTAGTTTGCAGCCTTGACGGTGGCGCATCAGCAGCGAAGGGTTCAGCCTCGGTGGCAGCCTCGGTACAGACCGCGTAGCGCTCATGTCCAGGGAACGTAGTGGTGACGCCGAGGTCCTGAAGTCATCCGACACCAACCAGGTTCCTAGAGAACGAGGGGATATGCAGGCCTGTAAGAGAGCCCGAAGGAACCGCCAGATAGGGAAGGGTAGTTGAGCTACGGGCAACAACCGGACCAGAGGAGGGGTCAGCAAGCGCGACTGCGACAGGGGCGACAAGCGGCATGAGCGCAGTGTAGTCGCGGAAGAAGCAGGCATACGCACCGGAGTCAAGCGTGAAAGAGAGCGAAGCGGTACCGGCAGCCGACGGAGGGGCTAGCGTGAAGCCTAGGCTAAAGAAGGTAATAAGCCTACGCCTGACGCAGCAGGGGAGCCTAGACTACACACACGAGGTACACCTACACTAAGCAATACAAGGTAATAAGATCCGGTCACACTAGAGTCATCAGCATACATGGCATGCAAAGCAAAGCAAATATGATCCATATCCATCTCGAATACATGCACACGACGACGCACCAGAGTGGGCAGTCGGGAAGGTTCGATGCAGGGCTGAAGCGAAGACGAAAGAGGTTGTCGAGGCGGCGGAAACAGCGGGCAACAGTGTGACTGGGACGGCCACACACAGTGCCGCAGAGGGGGGCGGTCTAGAGCTGGTACTGGCAACCCACAGCGCCGAAGCTGCCAACCGACACCGAGCTGCGGGGGCCGCCACCACGGCCACGCCGGCGGGAGGCGGCCCCACTGCGGCTACTGCTGCTAGTGCTGCGACTGCTGCTGCTGCGGCTGCTTCTCCTGCAAAGGCTGCTGTTGCTGCTGCTGCTACGGGGCACCAGCCCTGGTCCCCTTGTCTGAACCACCATCCCCGCCCCCACCCCCGCCACCCTTCCCTCCGCCACGCCCCCCCTAGGAGCGGCGGCCCCTACCTTGACGCGGCTGCGCTGAGGCTGCAGCAGCGGTCCCAGTAGCAGGGACTATCTCAGCGACAGTGGCAGATTCGTCAGAGTAAGTGCACTGGGAGGGAGCACATTCCTGAAAGATAGGGACTGCGGCAGTACTGCTAGACTGAGTGATAGTGCGCTGGCGGGTCTCTGTCTCGGACAGGCCGGTGACAAGGGCAGTAAGGGTGTGGTCACTTGGGTGCTGACTAAGGAAGTCATCGAGGGCAATGGCTAGGCAGTCTGGGAGGCGTGTGGTAATGAGGTAAAGGGTAGTGCAAAGGAGCGGCGGGAAGGTAGTGACCTGGGCCTCAGTGCTAGCAACGCAGTAGCTAGCCTCAAGTGCGCGGAGGTGAGTGGCCAGGTCAGCGACAGTGGGGAAGGTCGTAAGATCAGGGAACAGCATGGGGAGGATCAGGCGGCTAGCGGAGCGGAGGCAGGTGTAGAATAGCTTGAAACTACGGCATCTAAGAACTCCTTGGGGTTCGCTACTGTGGTAAAGCGGGGACGCTCAGACAGGGGGAGGGCGTGACTAATGGCAAGTTGCGCTACAGCGTCGTGTGACTCCCAGACAGCGCGAGCAAGCGCAGCAGCGGAAAAGGCATCACGCTCTGTAGTGGTGGAGGCATCAGGGAGGGTAGCAGGCGTGGGGGGGCGGGGAAGCAAGCCATCGACATGAACAGCAAGGAAGTAACCGTCCTGGCGCTGACCTGTCAGGTGACGGTTAAGGTTGACAAGCCACGCATCGAAGTCGAACGCCCGCTTCTCTGCGTCCAGGTGGAGCACAGCGTCCGCCATCGCACGACCTCAACCACACCGCGGCACGGTGATACGGCGGCGCGGCGCACAGCGATACAGCGGCACTGCAGCACGGCAGCACGACAACACGGCGGCACGGCTCCACGGCAGCACGGCGGCACGACTCCACCGCAGGACGGCGCCATGGCGGCACGGCGACATGGCGGCACGGCGGCACGGTACGACGGGGGCCTGGCGGCACGGCGGTACAACGGCACGGGTCAGCGGGCGCGGGGCCAGCGGGTGTGGAGCTGGCGAGAGCAGGGGCCCAATGACAGGGGCTGGTAGCGGGCGGCTGACAAACGCGGGGCCAGCAAGCCTGGGTCTAGCAGGTGCAGAGCTGGCAGGCGCGGGGCTGATGGCCACGGGGCTGGCGAACGCAGATCTGGCGAACGCGGGGCCAGCAGGCCCGGGCTGACGGGCACGGGGCCAGCGGGCTCGGGCCTGGTGGGGACAGGGCTAGTGGGCACAGGGCTGGCGGGCGCGGGGCTAACGAAAGTGGGGCCAGCGAGCGCGGGCGAGTGAGTGCGGGGCCAACGGGCTCGGAGCCAGCGGGCGCGGGGCTGGCGAGCGCAAGGCCAGCAGGCGCGGGGCTGGCGGGCATGGGAGGGGCGGGCACAGGGCTGGCGAGAGCGGGGCCAGTGAGCGCGGGCGAGCAGGTGCGGGGCCAGCGGGCGTGGGGGTGGCGAGCGCGGGGCTGACGGGCGCTGGGCTGGCAGGCACGGGGCTGGCGAATGCGGGACCAGCGGGGGCGGGCGAGCTAGGGGCCAGCAGGCGCGGGGCTGGCGTTCGCAGGGCCAGCGTGCGCTAGGCGACGGGCGCCAACAGGACGAGCGGCTAGAGATGAGTGGCTAGGGCTAGGGACGAGCGGCTAGGGCTAGGGCTAGGGCTAGGGTGGAAGCGTGGGTGGGCGAGATCCTAATATAGCGTGATACCATCTTAGAATAGAAACGATTGACTAGGATGAGGTGGTACAAGGGTATATAGCCTATGAGCATGCACCTAGCTAGCCTATAACAAATAATATGAGCCTATGAGGCAAGACTAGGGCAGGCTAGGGCGGAAGTGTCAACATATTATTTGTATATGTTATAGGCTAGATAGGTGCATGCTCATAGAGGGTACACCACCATAGCACAAAACCTCCCTGTATGGCACAATCTAGTTCATTGCGTTATTCTAACATGGTATCACGCTAGGTAAGGTCCCCCTCCCCGCCTACGCTTCCGCCCCTAGCCCTAGCCCTAGCCCTAGCCTTAGACCGCGCCCTAGCCCGCACCCCATCACGCCGCGCTGGCCCCGTCATGCCGCGCCAACACCGTCACGCCGCGCCGGCCCCGTCACGCCACGCTGCCCCCGTCCCGCCACACCGGCCCCGTCACGCCGCGCCGGCCCCGTCACTCCGCGCCGTCCCCGTAACGCCGCGCCGGTCTCGTCATGCCTCACCGGCCCCGTCACTCCGCGCCGGCCCTGTCACGCCGCGGCGGCCTCGCCACACCACGTCGCGCCGCCGAGCCACCGCGCTGCGCCAAGCTGCCAAGCTGCTGCGCCACGCCGCCGAGCCGCCGAGCCACGTCCGCGACTCTCGCGCAGACAAGCTCACTTCCCGCACCGTCCCCTATGTCTTCCTTGGCTTCTTCCTGGACGCGTCTTACTGGCTCTTCTACCACCCGTCGTCTCACAGCTTCTTTCACTCGTGTGTCGTCAATTTTGACAGGTCTGACCCCTTCTATACCCGCTTTCCCCACCGAGGTCTCCCGGTCACCCCACCGCTATTCCTTGTCCCAACTTCCCCGGTAGCTCCCGCTCCCCGTCCTGCCCTGTCTGGTGTGTTACACGTTACCCCCCTTCCCTCAGTTGCCTCGGCGGAGGAGTCTGCTGACTCAGGGGCCCTATGTCTCAGGGTCCGCCGCCTGTTTCTGTGGCACATGCACACTCAGCCCCGGTGTTTTCTCCGCAACCGCAGCAGCAACAACCATCGCAACAGCCGCCGCTGCCACAGTAGTAGTCGCTGTCGCCACCGCAACAGCAGGGGTCCGTGAGCTCTGGGGATGCTGGCGCTGTGAGTGCGGGCACTCAGGAGTGTGCTGGCTCTGGTGGTGCTAGTTCTAGGGGTGCTGTCGTGGCGAGTTCTGGATGTTGCAGTGGTGCACCTGGAGGTTCTGGTGTGGGCACGGAGCAGCAGTAGCCAGAGTCGACACCGGTGTCCGCCCTTCACCTCATCTGTCTTCCCTCCCCCAACTGCCTGCCCGCACCCCCCCTGCGCCGCCTCCTCCTCCGCCGGTCTTCGGCCCTGTGTTTCCTCCGCCGAACTCGTCCCCAGTTGTTTCCCCCCTCGTTCTCCCTCCGTGTTTCCTCCTGCGTCTCCTGACTTGACGCCTCCTTCCCACTTCTGGTCTCACCGTCCCTCTCGTGCTCGCCCTGTCTCTCAATCGTCCCATCACCTCCTCAATCGACCCTTGCTGTCTCTATACCCCTTTCTCTGACTTCCTCCGTATTGCGCGTCCTCTTGTCCCTCGTGTCCTCGCCTCCCTAGTCACCGACTCGTCCGTTCTTGTCTCCAGTATCGACGCTCTTGTCACTGCCGTCGCTGACTTCGCCTCTACCTGCCGCCTTGACTACGCTACTATTCTGGTCTCCGACCCTGCCCATCCTCCGTCCGTCGGGGGTGCACCTACCCTTGGTAGTGACGTCCTAGGGGACAGGCAGTACGAGCTAGCTTTCCTGTCCAAAGCCGCTCCTTATCACTGCTCCA